TTTCTTGCATTAGTGTTCGTCCGCGTAGCTCATAATCCAAAATTTTCGTTTTTTCCTAATTTTACTGATGCCGAATACTAATTTTTATATGCATTGACACTATTGCTTCCAAACTTTTACATTTCATATATTTATCTAAATAGTTATTCATCTTACGCTGTGTTCTTTAATTTGTTTAGTAAAAACTGTTATGAAGTTCAAAAATATGCAAGATTCTACATGTAACCTCGATTATTAAGTTTATAGCGGTTAAAATTTTTTATAAATTGTGTTTTGAATTCAATAATTACATGCAGTTATTCTTGACATTGAACGGTAAAGATGGGTTTCAACTGAGATTTCATATTTTCAATACATTTTCATTAGCAAAGATAATTTATGTGAATATATTGTAAATTAAATGTATTTAAGTAAATGTAATTATAAATATTCATTTGCATCAAATTGAGTTAGAGCCTCGTCTAGGAGGTTTAAAGTTTATAAACCGACCATAGGTTATTCCAAAACTGTATTTACTATCCCTTAAATAGAGCATGATATATTACGTACTACAAGGCTGAATGAAATTGACGATATGCCCAAAAAAAACGTATAGCATTATATTTTCCATAAAACTTTTGAATTTGTTGAAGATATTTTACATGTAATAATGTAAATATCCCTATCGATTTTTTAATATTTTATCATAATAATCAGTAAAAGTTGATAATTTTGTAAAAACAGTTTCACTAATGTGAATAACGTTATCTTTTATTATTTAGTAGTATATATAGTATAGAAATTCTTTTGAATTTGTTTGCAAAAACAAAAAAAATTACCATTCATAGATAAAATCGTCTGTAAATAACTTAAGCGATAAGAATCTATAATCGGTACATACAAGTGTCCAATGTGCTCACCTTACCTTCTCAGTCAGACTTCTTGTACTAGTTTGTCCGATGGGTACTAGGGCGCGTTAGTGTAGTAACAAATAAAAACCTCTAAAAGTGTCATTAAATTACAAATCAAACCTCTTTTTATAGCCGTTATTACGAGCTCCATAAATTACTTGAAATGGACTTAATAAGCGAAAATAAATGTATTATCGAATACGTCAATCGTGATCTGTTGTACAACTAAACATATGAATCATAAAAATAGCTCTAAAAAAGTTTATGTCTCATTCGCTTGTCTTGTTTATGGGACGCATAACAATTCTATTTTCGTGAAGCAGTCGAAATTCTTGCAATACGTATGATGAACATTTATGACTCGTTGAAACGTGATGTCCGTTCGGTAGCAGCTCGTATTCTAGAAAAAAAAACCGAACGGACTCCGACAACTGTAAATATTAGCTCAAGTATTCGCGCGTTTTTGGCGCAGTGAGGGTACTGGTGTACGAGTGAAATCTATGCAAAGGGGGCAAAATGACATATTACGTTTACGCATGCTGCACTGTCGAAGGTACTTCATATGGGTATATCTGACAGTGACATCGGTTACATTTACGAGATCGTCAAGTATAGCGCGAGGCAACTGCGAACCCTCGAGGTTACATCATTGTCACTTTAAATCTCGTAACAAAGCTCGTAAAAGTCTTTGACGACTTTGTCTGGTTAGTTTGAGTACATAGGTACGCGCAGCAGCCCTCTGCGCCTTACTTTCTTTTGCAGTACATGCTGTATATATACGTAGGGTAGTATAAATGTTTTATACACGCACCTTGGTTATGCCTATAATGTTATAGCTCTTAAAACTAATCTCGCGACATTCATTCACGGTATTTTAAGATCATGTCTCACGATGCGATATGATGGTCATTGGCACAGTTATAAATTAGTCAAGGATTCGTGCCGAAAACGATAAAGACAGCGTATATTGTCACGTCAAGCTGTTACGAGGTGATTCGATGTTTTATAGGAAACATTTATGAACTGTTCTACGATCGTCTGATAATTGTAATGATAAAATCATTTAACATTTACAGCCATACGGCCATTTGAGGTTTCATACTCTTGTTCAATCAAATTTTACTGTTTATTAAGTGATCGTAAACTTGTCGTGAGGACATCATTGGAATTGAATATATGAATTTTCCGCTGCTGGTTTACGTTGTATTAAGTCATCGTTAAAATTCTGTGTATGATTGAATTAAAAAAAAATGAAGATATTTATTTGTAAAATTTAACTTTCTGGCTACCTCTGACTTTCCAATTCTGAAAATCAAAATGTGATTTGCATGCTAATTCGAAAGCGTTTGTTTAGTTTCTAACTAACTTTATAATGTCGGTCTACATAGACAAAGGCAAGATGGCTTAAGGTCCTTTCATTGCGTATAATTCGAGTTGAAGAAGGTGGAAGCGCGTGCCACTATATGTCTGCAAACGCGTGACTCGAATGGCATTTTTTCCCATAAATGCCCGAAAAAAAAAGAAATACAAAGGAGGTGACTTGAATAAAAAAGCTGAAAAAAATTCCATCTTGTGAGTTTTCGAAGTCGGCAATGGTAACCGGTTTTTGAGATTTAAAATTCCTCTTCGTTTATGCGTGTGATCAGTATCCAATTAAAACTCATGACGTGCCTGGAACCGTCGTTTTGTATATTTTTTGCTTTTATTGCTCCTATTCTGCCTACGCTCTTCTTTATTCAAGTGGTAAAGTATCGTAAAAATCGCAATTGAAATTGAATTATGGCATTATTAGCTTGATGCTCATTAACGCATAATTTAATGAGAAATAAAAAGGTCCGTCATTTCATTACAGGAATTAACAGTTTTTTACTAACTAAAAGATACATCAAAACTTTCTGACAAAAAAATCAAATAAGACTTCTTTTGTAAACAATACCTTAACATTTGGATTGTAAAAATGTTTTTTCTGTAATTATAGAAATACTAGTAAGATTATGGTGTTTTACTTTAGTGTTTACTGGCTAATATTTTTATATTACTGTATACAAAAGCTCAAGTCAGCTTAAGAAGCTTTCTAAAAAAAGTAATAGCCCTAAATTATAAACATTAGTTCTCGAATTTAAGAAGAGGGAAAATAAGCATAGTGTGTTTTGTCTGCAATCCATTTGCAAATAATATTATGATCAGGCAGCCCTCGAAGAATCGTAGCCCATTGGTTTTTCGTTTGTCGTACATCGTGGCATCGTTGCGCTACTGTTCAGTCGTATGTCTTTATGTACACCTACGACAGATATTACATCGGCTACAATAGCTATGGTCGCATTAGTCGCAGCTTAGAGTTATGGCTAGTTCGTTTCCCACAATGGCCCCACTAGAGACAGTAAGAGCTCGGGTGCGTGTATCAACATCAATAGTCTAACTCACGGATGAGTTGTCGAACGTAAATCGTCTTACTCGAGATCCAGTCGCATGTATGTACCGACCCAAGACAAGCTTTAAGGGTGTGTCTTGTAGACCCTTGTATATTTGTGCCCGCGCATAAAGTTCGTACTCGCGAGTGTAAAAGATAAGTTTAGACCGTTATTTTACTTCGGTTAACGGACAATGACGAGTAATTTATTTTTTTCCCGTCTATCCGTGCGTGTTAAAGTTTGCAGTACATGTCACATATTTAAATCAACTGTTATTCCAACAAATATTTTTTGCGTTTATCTTTTATCATACTATTTTCATTACTTGAAATGAATGCGAAATAAAAAATTTGTGACTCTTAGTTTTTTAAATATTTTAATCGCTGTATTATTAATTTTAATTTGTTACTTCGCTTTTTTATATTTGTCGAAATGCCACACTAAATTTAGATGTAAATCATGAATTGAATTGTTCACCTCGAATAATTCAAGGGCCTAGTCGTAGTTCAACGTGGTTGTAGGTGAGATATAACGCGTTGAATAAAAGAAAAAGAAAATTTGATTCGATGGATGTGAAAAAATACGAAAAAGCGAAGATGAACTTGGCGAAGTGGAAAGAAGAAAAATAGAAAGAAAAAAAAGAAAGAAAGAAAGAAAGAAAGAAATCCAAAGTAGCGAAGCGAAGCGAGCTACTGCTGTTCGTTCAAAAGAAGAGGCAACGAGGTATGGAGTTGGGCTGCTCTTGGGATACTATGTGTAAGGAATATAAAAGGGAAAAGTAAGAAAAATGTGTCTAACGTGGTAGCTTGGCGAAAAAAGAGCAAAAAGCAGAGGCGAGCTAAGCAATTCTTCAAGCGGAGTTGCCGCCTTAACTGTCGGACCCTGGCTGCGATTGGTTCTCCCGCGTACACCGCGGAAAAGATGGCTGACATTTTCCTCCAAGCAACAAGCCAGGGAAATGTTCGTTGCCTCCGTTACCCCCGCCTTTAAAGCTCCTCTTGTTGCAGCGCACAAGCCTTTCTAACTACGTTCTCTCCCTCTGCAGCGAAGAAAGAGGCTTCTTCCTTTCCTTGCGTCTTCCTCTCTCTCTCTTTCTTCCTGCGTTCGCTCGCACTGTGTGTATAGGACGGAGGAGTCTGCTCGCGCGCAAGGACCTCACCTCGCCTATCTTCCCTCGTTCTTCTCTTTCCCTCGCATTTCGCTAGGGACTCTTATTCTTATTAACTGTTTAATCTTTCTAGCGGCGATGTACGATCACCATTATACCCCGAGGCTTGTTTATTTCGTCTGACTGCTTCTATTTCTGCTGTATACTGATACGTCCAACTGCGCCACATTACCAGGACTGCAAAATTCTCTTCTTTATCTATAAGTATATGCGTAGCGATAATGAGATGTTTGCATCTTTCTGATAAATTTGATCCCTGCATCAGTGATGCAAGGTTATCTTTATACGAGTAAATGGTGCAAATAGCTGAGATAGAGGGGCTAAGGAAATATTAGATGATATTTTGAGTATATGTTGAAGTGAAGAACTAATATGAACGGACAACTCGTTATCTGAGACTATAATTTTTTTTATAGATTGAGGGTTTGATGGGTGAGATTGTGAATGATTAAAATGACCATATTTACAAAGCCAAATAATATTGATACTAATTTTTATTGGTAAAAAAAACTACGAATTAAAAGTCATAAATTAGTATTGATTGACAACATTTCTGATCCAATCAACGAACGAGTAGACTTTGGTGTAAACATCCGGGACACCGCGAGCGCAAGGTACGACCCAAGACGTGATACCGAAAACTTGACCATCAACTACCAAAGGGCCGCCACTGTCACCCTGGAAATAAAAAATTATTAAAATATTATGGTTTAAATAATACTTCGCAAATAATAGAACAATGTACGTACAGAGCAGACACCAACTCCGTATTTGTTGAGAGCACAAACTTGAATGTTTCTCACTTCAGGTAAGGCCGAATTACATTCGGATGCGGGCAAAGTGGCCATGTAGGCCCTTTTTAAAATTGGTGATACATCGTTTGATGGATAGTGCTGAATTCCCCATCCAGTAGTCGTTGCTATTTCACCATATCGAACATCGCGGGTAGGCAATTGAATTGGTTGTTGGTAGGCGTTAAATTGTATCTCATCGGCAAGCTGAAAATTGTTAACGGCACAATTAATGAATTTTTATTTTAAGTTTTGATTTTTTGATTTAAATTAATGAATCATGATAAAAAATCGCACCATCATTATACCGATGTCGTAGGCAAAAGCAGAATCTTGGTCACCGCGGAAATATGGGTGAACCCATGTGTTTACGACTCGGTGCGACTGTCCAGTGTAACCATAAGATTGGCTAGTACCCGTGAATACAGTTATGTCATTGTATGGGTACTGGGCCAGCCCAGATATGCAATGGGCAGCAGTGAGAATGTGACGTTTGGAAATGATTGAACCTCCGCAGTAGTGTTCCCCGTACTTACGAAGCGACACTTGGTAAGGGTAGTCGACAATGTCAACGTATTCTCCACCAACGACACGATCCCCCACGTTTTTTTTGTTTTCTGTCTCCTCTGCCGCCGATGCTAGACCTTTAAGAAAAATACTTTTTAGTAAAATCGATAATCTTGCACTTTAACTTCTAATGTAACTCACAAGCTAGCACGACTATAAAAAACAAACTTAGTACTTTAGAAATCATATTGGATTACTGCATAATTATCATTGAGATCTACCGCATTTATATACCAACGTTTTCTCTTCAAATCCCACCTGTACTTTTGTTTGCTCATAATTAGAGCGTCTATTGAAACGTCTATCGATAACGTGCGAAATTTGCACCGCCAAGTAAACATATTTTGCCGCACATGGAGAGTTTTGCAATTCAGTGAAACTTGAGTAATTACTCTGATTTGATGTTGTTTTTTTGTGTAACCGATCATTTAAAATTCAAACATTTTTTCTAGAATCTTACTTTCGGTCTAGAATAATCGTTACTAATGCAACACTGTACATTTTTTTAAATATCGTCTGAGTTGACTAATTAATTTAAAAATTTGTTATTTTTTCAAGCAATTGTTTCATACACATCATTATCAAATCTTTATCTTTTTAAATGTATTTATATCTGTAATAAATCATTGTTTACCAACATTAGCATATCTATTACGTAGTATCGCCCCACGTGTCGAATTTATTGTACTCAACTAAAAACAAAAGGTGATAAAAATGTTTGTAAATTGTGCAAGGCGCGTGTTTGATCCGTTCATTCAAAACAGTACGTTCAAATTTTAAAATTTTGAGTCGATTGTTACGCAACTCTGTTGGTCATTTACCAGTTTATACATTTCTGTTTATTATTATAGTTTTTGAATATTTATAAATAAATGCATATACATTTATGAATTTTTAATAATTTTTACCAATGAAGCAGTGATTAATTTTAAAATTTTTGCATTTTCAGGTAAGTTCCCTAATTGTGTACCTTCAAAATAAAGTAAGTTTTAACTTGAGTACATTTATGCCACAAACTCGATGACAATAATTAAAATTTAATCATATTGTCTTTTTTGGTTTATATGGTTTTTATATAATATTGGCTTTGAATATGTTTGTAATTTATTTCATTCGCAATGTTATGTAGTTTTTTTAAAATTACTATTGAAAATAATTGTTTCAACATGTAATTCATGTAGATTTCAAAACGTCAACTCACTTCTTCGTGAAAATTAAGACACAGATATTCAGCTTCAATTGATGAAAGTAGAAGACGATCAACCTCACAACGGAAATCCTTTATCGGACGTTGAAGTCATAGCGACGACAGAAACACACCGATGGTGCGCTTCCTTCCATGAACGAGATCGTAACGACGATCATCAATACGCTATTCTTAGGTGTCACTGCTTAACCAGCGTAGATCTCGATAGTGTGTACTCAAAGAAAATTCGAGCTCATAAAAAATTCCAGCTCAACAGCCTTGACGACGATCGTCTCTCGTATCTCTAGCTCAAGCGATAGAAGTTCCCTTGATCGCCAATAGACATAAAGAGTCTGACGGTCGTTAAGATCGTTGTCTTTTTTCTTCTCTCCTTTCTTCTTTTCTTTTTCTATTCTAGTATACAGGTTGTACAAAAGTTGACTTTGGCTAAGGTGTTTGTTTAATTTTTTTCGACATTGATTATAAACAACATTAATTTTTAAGAAAATTTGCAGATTAAACAAGAGAATAGACTAATTTTTTATTCTTACTTTTATTTAATCATTAATATTGGAAAAAGCTAATTTTTGAACAGTACAGAAGAGTAGAAACCGCCTGAAATAGGTTTTAATACAACTAGTCAATCGTGGAGCATACATGTCTTAAAAAATGATGTGTTAATCCACTGATTCCCTGAACTAGAAATTAAGAAATTAACGATATCGGCCGAGATCAAAAAATCGAAGAGTAAGAAAATTAGCAATTCTTTGATAACATAAATAAACGAATTTCTCATGTTCTTTGTCATAATAAATCGTCCTTTATTCGCCAAGCGGTGAAATTCTTTGAAGCTGAAGTTCGATGGTTCACAATCAATGCTACCGCACTATTTATTCATTAAAACTTATTTAGTTATTCCAATTTATTTATCGTGGGCAGAAATTTATCTGACAACATAACTTGGAGATTGGATTTAATAAACGAGCAAAAATTTTCGAATTTTATCGATAAAATTTAATTAAAATAAAAGATACTTTATAATAACAAAAACAAAAGAAGTTAGCTCATACAGACAAAAATTACTATTGGTCAATCATGATGTCTAAAAAAATAGATTAAATTTATAACACTTGATTGCAGTTGTAGGAGATATGTATTTACATTGTCTTTCTGGACGATATTATTTTCTTCTTTTAATTCATTCGCATTTACATTTTTTTCAGATATTAGTTGGAGAACCATCAATAACAAATATAAACAATAAAAATGTTGAAGATTGTACTAATTTGTACCAAATATATTTGCTACCACTTTTTTATATAGCTATAAATTACAAATACATAATTCAAATTGATCGATATTAGTTTTAAAGTGAGAAGGGTAACGTAGTGTTTAAATATTTATTCAATTTTTTAATTTTTATCCGGAAATAACACTTAAAATTGTATTATAAATAATTATGTTTTAATATTTTTGTGAGATTGTATTCGATTGTACGAAAAATTTTAAAACAAAGGTATCGAGTCTCAAAAAATGTTCTGTTTTACCCTGACTTTGGCACTTTTTCATAAACACGCCATTTCATAGAAAATAGAATATTATCCTAATTCCTTTTTTATATAGTTTTACTAATTATATGCTCTCGTTTTATCAAAGAAAGCTTGAACAAACAAAACGTCAAAAACTGTGCCCTCGCTACCTTGCGGTGGAAGTAAACCGTGGTAGGGTCGAGGAAAACATACTATTTTGAGTCAGGAATTTGCGTTTCCCGGATTAGGAAGGTATGTTTACCCATGGTTTTTTTCATGTATTGGTTGATACACTCGGCCAAAATATTCTCACGTTTCCATTGGCTAATTCACAAGTTTGCCTTTTCGCAGGCGGCCCTGTCTCAAAAAGATAAATGTATTACATTTCTGGTCCTCGCGTGAATGCGCGCGTGTATACGTTTCCGCACGGTACACTCATCGCAACGTTGACGAAAGTCTCCGCGTCGCTTCGTCGTTCAATAACTCAAATCGGGCTCAATTTTCCGAGAAGAAAGTTCGCCCGTGTCCGGAGAGGTCGTCGGGCGGCAGAGCTATAGGGGGTTGCTACTATCATCGTTGTTGTTGCACGACGCCCATAAAGTATACACGTGCAGACAGAAGCAGTGGGCCGCTGACGTCGCCATTGCTTCTACATTATGATAGCAATTCCAAGTATGAAAGTGCGCGCTTTATTAAGCCCATGCTTTAAGCTCGATTGGATCGCTGAATGTGCGCGAGCGACGCGCCGCTTTGTTTTCGAGGGGATGTTTGTGTATTCGCTGGAGTTACTCTGAAATATTTGTTGGTTTCATGCCGACGCGTAATTGATGATTCACGCAGCGTCTTGTACGGAAACGGCTGATATTTTTCATTATTTTCGTATTCAAAGAATGAGATAGTGCCAAAACATCTGAACAATGATTCTCTCAAGGTTTTCGATTGATAATTCGTATTCCGAGCATGTTGTGAGGTGCGTGAAGGGTGACTTGAATTAATTGACCAGGCTGCTGTAAAAAATGTCACGACCTCGATATGAATGAAATTCCAAATCAGAAATTGTTTTAAATTACGCTACAAAAATGAAAGCCCTCTTTCTTTGTTTTGAAGTAAGAAAAAACTTCTCCACCCAGAGTCGAGGTGCGTTGAAAGAAAAAAAGGGTGGCTTATGCATATAAGAATAAAATATCATGCGAGAGGGTCGGGATGCTGCGTGGAAATTGCCTTCCAAGCGCGTATTAAAATTTCCGGATTTATCGTTAAGATAAACCGAGAGAAAAAAGAAACAGTTGAAGAAAGGGAGGTAGCAAGAAGGAGGGCTAAAAAACTGCAGTCTTTGCCGTTATTGCGAGGCTGAGTAAACTTGGTGGTATTGTTATTAGTCAATTCATTTATATAAAAAATTATGTTTGTACAAGATTGTATTACTATTACTTATTCGTGAATTGTTATACAATTTTGGCAAAATTATTGACATTGTTCATTGAACGATTGAAAAAAAGTTGTTTGGTTTAAAAAATAAAAAATGATTATTGGACTTAATTAAAAAATAGATAATGAACTAGATGTAAAAATATAATTCTAATATCTTTTATGTTACATATAAAAATCAGTTTCGACTTGAAAGCATGAGCTCCTACGGGGAGACAACCCGGCAGACACACGTGCGTGTAAGGTTGTCGTATATGCCGGGTCGTTATAAGGGTCCCCCCCTCTTTCCTTGAATGGATCACATTAATGGTCGATTCTCGTCTTTCTCCATAGACTCCCGCATTCGTCGGCGTTTTTTACTCTCTCTCTTTTCTCTCTCGCAAATACTGGGGTCGATTCTTTTCGATTACATTCACGTGACAATAATCTACTGGCAAGCCACCCCCGTGTATCTATGCGGCGCACGATACCTTATCCGTCGACTATGCTTGGATATACAAGCGAGTTGTTCTACTTTTACATGGATAAAATGGCATATAACTTTGGCCGTGGAGAGCAGCGTCGAGTCTCCTCCTACTGTAGGCCGCCGACCGCGTTATACTACTTCGCTACTATACAACACCATCATCAGACACTCAAATGCTCGTAGGAGCGCGCGTGCGCTTTTATGCCATCGTAAAAGAGCAGTAACAATTAATAAGTATCTCGTAAAAGCGATTGCTTGTCGACACCTCTTGTATACATGTATATACGCTCTCTGTATTATAGCAAGTGCGAGCTTTTGACTGATGTATTTTCACACGCCTTCCCATTCAAAAAGGACCTGCTTAAAGAAAATACCACAGCCTTAATGCAAAGAACGGAAGCAAATTTTATAAAAATTAGAGGCAAGGTTGACCGTAAATGCTGTTTACATCCCCGTTGAACGTTACTTTTAATCTCGAGCAAATTCGTCGTTACTTAGAGTGGACGGCGACTCGTAAATCATCGTCAACAGTTTTTTTTTATTATCACTGCAGCAATCGGTGCAAAATTTCAGCTGTA